AATTACAAGGGTATGGTCTGCGTACAACTGACCCCCAGACCCCAACCCGTTTGGGAATATACTGGGTATGTTGTTGTTTGAATTTGAGAATTGATGTAAAATTTTATTTTTCGCCACAAGGAACTATATATGATCCTATCTTGAACTTTATAATGTTCTTTTATTTTTCTTGGGCTTTTACAACCACAGTTTTTTTTTCAAGTTGTGGCTTCAATGCTTTGAGTGGCCGTCCTTTGCTGCACTAGACGTCTCTAGAATAAGTTAAAAAAAATGATTAATCAATTAGTGATGATGGAATTATAATATGGATATTTGGCCGGATGACTGATTAGTTTGAGCTATTATGCTAGTCTGATTGTTTTCTCTGTTCTAATTTGAATCTGGGTGTTTTTACTGACCACATGAGGCGTAATTCAATCAAGCTTTATCATTTGGCATTATCGGTCTGATTTATCCGTGTCGTGTATATGTGATGATTTTTTTTTTTTTTTTTTTTTATTTGGTTGTATGTATTCATAGGACCCAAGTTTGGCGCAATTTGCCATGGAGAATGAAATTTATGTAACTTGGGAAGTTGGACAGTTGGCTGAAGCAAGGTGTTTCGCGCCTGGTTTTCGTGGTGCGTGGTTTCGGTGCAAGGTAATGTACAAATGTAGAATGTGAAATTCATATTTTTGTGGAAAGTATATCTCGTTTTTCATGCCTTGAACCTGTGCACTCGAGTATACTCTTGGATGGATTTCTCTCTTTGATGCTGTGATTTTGTACTTTGTGGATTTTCTTATCATAGCATAGCCTCAGCACATATTATTACAGTGTAGTTCCTTTATAAAAAAAAGATAGCAGTGAGCATTTCTGTGGTATCCTTTGGAATATTTATTTTCAACGGGATTCCAATATTAGATTGTAAGAGTTTTTGCACAATACATTATTTTTATATTTTTTCTAACAGACTTCATATTTGCTGATTGTGAGTCTTAACGGATTAGCTGATTACTTTGGTTTCTCTGTCAATCTTAAAAAGCATCTGCTTTTTTCTGTTTGGTTTTTGTTGCAATGTTGGTGATTATACTGTACGGGAAACCAAATTGCAGTCTTTATAAGATATGATTTCTGGTCATTTGCTATATACATATATGTATGTGTGTGTGTGTGTGTGTGTGCTGTGTTTCAGTGTTCTTTGTTTCCTAAGTATAACTATTTGCTTTTTCCAACATTGTCTGTATTTACACAAATATTTGTTTTCTCAAAGCAGATTACAGGGGTTTGTGAGACAAATGGGCACATTGAACGTGTCCATTTAAAATATTATGACTACATTGATGATAGTAAGTCACTGTAGTTCCCTTTACTTGAGACATTTCAGAATTTGTGATATATCTGTTGCAATATAATATGTATTACTTGTAATAATTTAATATCACTTGATTTATAGTGGTTTGTGATGTATTTGCTGCTGTACTAGGCTTTCCCCCATATTTATTTCAAGAGTTTTTGTTTTAATGGTTTTCCCCTAAGCACCGCTGGAAGTTCTATTCTAAATACTTCATGGTAATAGTGTTGGGTTCGGTGAAGAACACTTGTACTAGTTCAAATTGTCTACGAGTTAATCCTAAGCTCAGTGATCTAAAGATTAGGATTAAATGCTTGCGAATTAAAATTCGTAGACTTTGAGACGTTTACACGGTCTACGGGACCGGATGAACTGGTCTCCTTTTACGTGAGGATATATGTTGTATTCCCGACACCGAGTTTGTTCGTCTTCGTGGGCAACGACCTCGGAATCTCCCCTCAATGTCTCGCACGATCACTTTGGGGAAAGAATGAAGATCTTGTGTTTGTGGACACTATATTTTTCTCTCACACGTAAACCTCACTGTGTTTGTATGTGAAGAGGGGGGCCGAAATCATTATGGGGATGGTGTATTTATAGGTTATAGCAAGGACCTTGAGGAGGTGGTAAATAAAGACTTCTCATGTGAACAAGCAACTTAGGTTTTAGTCCACCTACACTCATTACCCATGAATATTGAACTTCTTATTTAACCCTCAAATTATATTTGAGGCTCCATATTATCTACTCGATTAAAATCGACCCCATGTTTAAGATATAATTTTTGTTAATTAATTATTGATAATATATTGTTCAAAAAATAGTACCAATTAATTCTTTATTATTACACTGGAATTCAATCTGCGTGCACTCCTTTTTGAGCTCATTTCGTGGGTATAATCAAATTGGCGCAACAACAAACAATGTCCATAAAATAATAGAATAACACACCACACAAAAAACATTATTTCCCAACTGATCCATTGACTTACATAATAAATCTCTTTTTTTTTTTTATGAATCAAATAATATCTACTGAGTGCACGTGTTTGTTATTATCTTACGGATTAAGAGAACAAGTAATAGCCGGGGTCTAGTCTAGTTTATTTAGTTTATTTATTTGATCAGTATAGAATAAACTTATCCCCACAAACTTGTCAATACACTCTTAAGTGCACTAGTGTAATTTATTAGTCAAGATCATCCAATTCCAAAATTACTCTACAATTGTTTCCCGTAGTTCAGTCAATTCTATCTAGGTTGTGACCAAACTTTTTACAAGGAATCGACAATATGATCTTTCGTCATCCATGATGAACCGTATCTATCTATAATGTAAACAACTGTTTATTAAACATGATTCTCATTCAAACGGAAATAAGTCTCTAACAAAGCCAAGCTTTTGATATACAGACCAACAAATAGTTCGAGTATTGAAGTGAGATCATGCATACATTTCCAGTAGTTGACTGGTATTTGGATTCTGTTATACGGTGATTTTAGCATTTAGATAGATTATGTTTTCACCCACAGTGGTTAGCAGACTTGCTCATGTCCTGGAGGTACTGGCCTTGAGAAATCCTATCTATCTGTTATAAAAGAGGAGGATTCATGTCTATTTATATTCATAAACCACCTAAACTTTTGAAAAATTTTGGTTCTCCAACCCAATGAATTCATGATGGATTATTTTTACTCAATGAGAGAATTTTTATATTTTGTTTTGGATCGTTCCTTTTTTTTTTTTTTTTAGGTTTTCTGCAATAAGACATTAGAGTGAGTAAATAATGTTATATTTGGTAGGAAAACTTGCAATACTATACTTATGCACGACCACACTATGTAAACATTTTTTTTTTTAACTAAACATAAAAAACGCAATAAAGAAAGAAAATATTGTGACTAGTCTTAAAACATTACTGACTATTGATTGAGAAAAAACAATGAGAAATTTATGTACACCTTTTAGTGTGATGCCTTTGGATATAAATATATATATATATATATATATATATATATTGTATATCATGCTAAGATGTACCTAAGTAATTCATGCTTATGCTCACGGATTGAGGGTTTTATTTGTACTCCTTATTCTAACTTTAAAACAGTATGGTTAACGTCCCGATCTTTATCTCAATAGTGTCCATATCTATAAAGTAGAGTTGTAGTTACTGGGTGTTGGGATTATAAAGTGGCATAAGCACACAAGCAAATATTGGAAGTTGTTCCTCGAACTTTCCCCTTCTATATTTCTGTGGCCTTGAAGCAAGGAGTCAGATGTGAGAATGATAGAAGATTATAACTAGGAATTAGGCAGTTGTAGTCAATTGATAGCATTTATATTTTCTACTATTGTATAATATCCGTGATGTGATTAACTCGAGGAGTCAATTTCTATCTTGTTGCTTTCTGCAGAGCCAACATGGTTGAAGCTTTATCAGGTGACCTCAAAAAAGAAAAAAGAATTGATGTTGCGGCCACGTTACCCACAAATTTATAATGCAAAGACAATGCCTCACGCTAGTGCAATTTCAGAGGTGTCGGTAATTTTTGATGGTTCATGGAAGGTGGGAGATTTTGTGGACTGGTGGAGCGAAAATTGTTATTGGAGTGGAACAATAACTCAGTTACTGGGTGATGGAAAAGCTGAGGTATGAAGTTCCTGGAATTTTTTTTTATTTTGTTTGGTGGATTTAGTAATTTCCGAATTTTTCTGGAATGGGAAAAAGAGGGAAAAATATCACGGAAACAATATGCTTGGATATAAGTTTGTGATTGGATATTTTTGTTTTGATTGGTTTTTTTGGTTAACGACAGTTAATTTTGAGAAAGTTGGTTGAGTTTTGTTTCAGTGGGGTTTTGAGTTTGTATTAAAATAACATTTAAATAAAATCATTAAACTTGATTTGATTAAAAGTAGGAGAGAAGTGATTGGAAGTGATGAGTAGTCAAAATCATGTGAGTGGATGGATAGTGAATTAAAGTTGATTTGATATTTACGGATAATTGATTGGTAAATAATTGATATCCACATATGTGAAGGTGCCGTTTGGGCACTTTTACTGTATACAACTCTATTTTTTCTTTTGTTTTTTGGTTGTTATTGAAGAAAAAACATATGTTCTCTTAGGTTGAAAACAATCATTTAGTGATTACTGTGAAATGTTCTCTTCAATGTTTTAGAAGAATATAATGTGTTGGTGCGACTATGATATCAGTCGTTAGCTTTAATCAAGCTATATCCTTACTTTGGGGTGACTTCTGTAGATTGAGCTAAAACCACCACCACATGGCGAAGGTGAAGTTTATGTGGCTGAATTCAAGGATTTGCGTCCATCTTTAGATTGGTGTCCAGAATATGGCTGGACAATGCCTAAAAAGGTTTGTTATCTTTTCTCTCTCTGAATATGGCTCAGTATTAAGATGTGTCCTCTATTTTGGAAAATCCAACATTAGGATGAGGATCTATCCATTTTTCACTTGCTCGTATAGAAGAATATCATCTGGTTGGCATTTCTGTTTGTAAAACTTATTTTGTGAAGCAATTCCTCAGTACTCAGTAGCATATTTTCTCTCATGTCCAGGGCGCTGGGGATTGGGAAATTTTCATCATAAGCCCTAGATTTTACTTACTGTGTGAAATTATGGCTCAAATTTTATAAATTCTTAATTTGGGTTTTGATTTTGTGTATTCTCAACTAGAGTTCATAATAATTGCATTATAATATAAAGAAATTAAAAGTAAACCTCCAAATTTAACTTGAAAAATACCTGTGCTGCCAATATATTAAAAAATATTAATTTGATACAATTGATAAAATCTAGGCCTTATGATGGATTTTCCCGAAATATTTAAGCAATGTCGAACCAACAAATGCTAACAAAAATTTTAAATTTTTTAGTTACTTTTATGTTTTATATTAACTCTATTGCATTTTCTATTTAGAATAAAATTAGTACATAGCCAGTGCGATGCACGGAACAATAAACCGTATAAATTAAACTAATGTTGGAATATTGATTAGTAATAGTCTTAAATATCAATATTAACTTTTACATTTTATTTTATTTTTATGATATATAATTGTTTAATATATGATACATATGTTTGTTTTACTAGCTATAAAATAGTTGTTATTTAGAGTTCTCATTTGGAATTAAGGAACATGAAACTTTAACAATTCAAACATTATCAATAAATGAAACTCAAAAAAATGTTTCTCTCTTGTCTTACTCATATCTTATTAATATATATTATTTTTGATTTCTTAAATGATGATGAAGTTGATCAAACATAGCAAATACTTTGAACTGAAACTTAATTTAGAAATAATGTAGTTATGTTATATTATATTTATAAAACATACTAATTTCTCATCACGTCAAAATTATTTTTAGTATTTTTTATAATTTATAATAATGTATATTATAAATATTTTGATTTTTGTTTATTATCTAACAGTTCATATAACAGTTCTACAAAAGTTGATTTATGATTACATGTTTTGAAAAAATCATTGTTCTAAAAATCGACCTAGGCGGCGCCTAGGCGCTAGGCGATGCCCGGACGCCTCCGATGTGCACTGATCGGGCAGAAAAAATCGGCCAGGCGCCTAGGCAGCCCTAGGCGCTACTGGCGGACTTGGCGGGCTCAGTGGCCAGGCGGCGCCTAGGCGGGCATAGGCGCTCCTAGGCGGGATCAGCGGCAATTTTTTAGTTTTTTTTTTTTAAATTTTTTTAAATACTAATTACATTATTTTGTTCTCATGTTTTCTTTAAAATATATTAAATTTATTATTTGGACTTAGGTGTGTCGATTTATTATAAGTTGAGATAATTTTATTTTGTAGGTAGTAATATAAATAAAAAATAATACATTTAATATTGATTTCTAGGCCCCTTTAGAACAGTGGAAAAGATACATTCTAATAATATTTTAAACTTTTTCTAAGCTAACGGTTTACATCATTGTTCGACAGATGACTTGTTGGTTTATCATTATAATTTATAACAATATATTTTCTGTTTCTAAGTTAATAATTTGCATGAATAGTTCATAGTTCAACAGATAATCCGCCGGCTTATCATAATATGTTATAATATATATTCTAAATATTTTGATTTTATTTCTAAAGTTAAATAATTTACATGACAATTTGACAAATATCTCACTGGTTTATCATACTAACAATAAATATTATAATTGTTTATGATCTAATAATTTCTGTGGTAGTTCCACAAATAACCTGTTGGTTTATCATTTTATTATTGTACATACTTGATTGTCAAAATAATTGTTTACTTATATATTTATATTTTGTTAGAATCAATTTTTTAAAACACATGAGGATAAACACATGAATTACTATTTTAGATTATTTTATTTTTAGTATACTTAATTAAATACATTTATATTTTATTGTATAAATGAGTTCGGACTAATTCCTTTTTTAAATCAACATTAAATAATACATCTAAGTTCGTTTTATATATACAATATTAATAAACTTATCACTACATTAGAAACTATTATGTTTTATTTATACATGCTCATACAATTAAAAATCATAAAATAAAGATCAATTTAATTAATATTATCTATGAATACAATGTATAACACAAAAATATCATTATGTTTTTAAAAAGCAAATGACATTAATATTTAATAAAAAAAATCATGAGAAAAAGTAGACAATGATATAGAAAATAATTAGGAAAGACAAATCATAGTTAGAAAATTTACTCACATAGGCGTTTCAAAAAATATTTTAAATTTCATAGTTTTTTTTTTAATTTATAAATAATTATTCTGGGAGTGATTAATATATAACCATATTCGTTAATTTATTTTCTAAATCAAATTAAATTTTAGTTTATAGAAACTTAATAATTGATTGTATATTTTTGAAAAGTTTAATCTCAAATTATTGATATTTCACTTAAAAAAAAAAAGATTAGATCGAAAAACATAATTGATTGAATAAATTTGAAATGTTTAATCAATACTTTTAGATAAGTTATTGATTTCTTGTTATGTAAAATATAAATAAAAGTTTGACCACCATAGAAATAATTAGAAAAATAAATAAAAAGATAAATGTTTTTTTAGCAGAACCATTACAATTTCAATTAAATAAAACCGTTAGATAGATAGATAGATAGATAGATAGATAGATAGAGAGAGAGAGAGAGAGAGAGAGAGAGAGAGAGAGAGAGAGAGAAAGGGGAGGGAGAGAGAGATAAATAAAACATCACTTGGGTGAGGTTTCCTTGTTCCTAGTTAAATCAATTTTAATTAACTAGTGCGTGGCCCGTGCGATGCATTGGAAAACAATGTTACGATTGTATTATATATTAAATATATAAATAAATTAATCAAGATTTACCCATCATTTTTAATTAAACCGTGTTGGACATAGTCCGACCGGATGGACCAAGAACTGGTTTATAACTAGTCTAGTTCGCTTGAATAAAATATTTGCTATTGAATCCGTCAATACCCTGGTACGATCTGTACAATATTCTAAATAAATTTTGCTACATTTAAAATTATTTTAAATAAAATTTTATATTTAAATAAAATAGAGAAATTGTTTATTCAATTAGTTTAAACATTTAAAGTTTTAAATTGTTTAGATATTTAAGTAACACATTTTATTTGAATTTATTACAAAAAGTACTATATATATATATATATATATACACACACACACATTAAAGCATATTAAAAAAATTGTATGATTTTATAAATTAAATTGTATGATTAAATTGAATGATTTTTAAAGAAAAGAATAAGAAAAATAATAAAACTATAAATAGGTTGCATTAAATGCTAACCTACTTTTTTGCTACTATTTTTGGTAAATGGTTTCTCTCTTTATATATATATATATATAGATACGATCTTTTTATTCAATAAAAAAAATATTTGTAGATTGGAAAAATATAACTATAAAGCTTTAGAATTCACTTAGATCTTACTTTGAGAATGACTTGTAAAATTCAAGTCTTTATTTGTAAAATTTTGGAACTTCCCTAATTGAGAAACATGTAAAATTGAGGTCCTACTTTGATACACAAGTCCTACAATGAAATTCACCCGATGGGCCATTTATAATATCATTTGACTCTAATGCATTGTATCTTATCATATTTATAATAAAATAAATAAAAGCATCTCAAAAAATGGGTGACGCTTCATTTTTCATAATTAGATTAACTTTAATTAATACGATCTTTTTAGTCAATATTTTTTTTAGCAATTGGAATATATAACAATAAAGCTAGAGAATTCATTAGAATCGTACTTTGAGAATGATTTGTAAAATTCAAGCCTCCAGTTGTTAATATTTGGAAACTTAGGTCCCTAATTTGGAACTTGTAAACTCATGGTCCTACTTTGATATCCAAGTCCCTACAATGAAGTTCTCCCGATGAACAATTTTTAGTTACTTTTAAATTTTATTTAACAACTCTAATGCATTTTATCTTTATCATATTTATATTAAAATAAATAAAAACATCACCGAAAAAGGATGAAGCTTCATTGTTCATAATTAAATTAATTTTACTTAATATCGGTTATTTTAGTTAATCTAATTATTATTTTTTTTTTTTATCAATTGGGAAATATTACAATAACGCTTGAGATTTCATTTAGTTCTTACTTTGAGAATGATTTGTAAAATTCAAGCCTCCAATTATAAAAATTTGGAAACATGTGCCCCTAATTTGATGATTTGTAAAATTAAAGTCGTACTTTGGTACCCAAGTCCTTACAATGATTTTTTCCCAATGGGGTTTTGGGTAATGTTGCGTTCAATGTGATAACTATATTTTTTTTTTCTTTTTTTTTTCGTCGAGGAAATCTGATTTCCTCTTTCTTATATGGTTTCATTATTTGATTAATTTTCACAAATCTGAAATTTGATGAGCATGAAGTCCAAATTTGGATCATATGTAAAGTTTTCTCATGCTAATGCTAAAGCCAGATATAGTGGGATTAATTCCAACCATATTCATAAGTTATTGCACAGCTTGTCTTGATTGTTTTTTTTTTTTTAAATGTACCCTTTCTCCAAAAAAAGAATATTAACGAGAATTTAAGACGACTTTGTTTATTTCTAATTAATGCATTTGACTTTTATTTGTTTCAAATGCAGTCCTGAATCGTATAAAAACATCTAACAGCCTTTAACTTTCATAGTTCCAGTTAGTCTTCATAGATTTTATATGATACTAGAGTTCCAGAGTTTCTTTCTTGTTGCTTTAAGGTATAATCAGATGAAGAAGACATTAGACCTCACAACTCAGCATATATTTTCATGATAAATGACTTATTTATTATTTCAATTAGATCCCAGCCAAATTGACAGCGTGACGGGTCCGTTATTGCTGCTTTGTGCATTCTTACCGGATTATATTCCGTCATGTTAGTCTTTGATATTCATCATTATACTCATATCTGTCTTTGTGATTCATTGTAGGAAGGTGATAGTAGTCGCCCTAGTGCTTGGCTTTCTAAACCTGAAAAACGAGGTATGATTATTTAAGTGCTTTTTGTGGAGCCGTGTAAAATCTGTCTAGAATTCTAAATGAGGCTTTGGCATAAAAATATATTGTGAGCCCCACTATAGACTTGAATTTAATCCTCTTTGTTTCTATTCTAGCAGAAAAATCCAGTTCTTGGAATATATTCCCGTGATATTAAGTAACTATTGCATTAAGTGCATATATGTGGCATTTGTTAAGTGGCTAATTTATTCAATGGGTAGGTGTGGTGACTCGAGGGTGAAACCGTAATTTTGAAAGTGGCTTTTCCCCCCTTCTGTATGTTAGCAGCCTAGATCTGAGGAAGTTTTTTTCTTGTTTACCCTTTAGTTAGTTCAAGGGATTAAGATGGGCTTGGGGTTAAAAACCAACTTAGATCGGTATTTTGCATCTAACCTGTTTTTTCTTATATAACAAAATGTTCGTTCACACGCGCATCAAATAACACTGGTGACACTTGAGCCATTGCAGGTGAAGAAACCAAGGTTGTATCAGATGAGATGAAGAGCACTGAAACATCAAATAACACTGGTGACACTCGAGCCATTGCAGGTGAAGAAACCAAGGTTGTATCGGATGAGATGAAGAGCACTGAAACATCAAATAACATTGGTGACACTCGAGCCATTGCAGGTGAAGAAACCAAGATTGTATCGGATGAGGAGATGAGCACTGAAACTAAGGACACCGATAATATATCTTCACAACCTACGGCTCATAAAAAAACAAAAAGGACTAAGAAGAAGAGGGAAGATTATGATGATAGCAAGACGGAGTCTGGGCAGGCTAAAACTGAGCCCAAGCTGGATGTTGCTGACAAGGAAAAGCTTGATTCAGGCGAAGATGAGAAAGGTAAAGGAGGATCAGTTCTGAACTCGGCTCGTTCTGATACTCTGGAAGCTGCAGTTATGGACTTGGAGGAGTATTTAAACAAGGTGAAATGGCTAAAGATTGTTTTGGAACAAGGGATTTCGCCTCCGGATGACAAGAGTGAGTGGCAGTTTGTGGAGCCTCTTGTGGATCATGAAGCCACAAGATGATTCTGTAAATAGAAGTAGGATTACATATCTGGAATTTGGTTAAGTGTGTTTGGTTAGTGTAATCGCATG